GTGCTCCAGGGAAAGGATAGGTGCTCCAGGGAAGGGATAGGTTGGGAGCTCCAGGGCCAGCGAGTTCCTGTGCAGCCGCCTCTGATCCGATTATGTAAATGGCCCTGGAGCCGCGGGGAGCGCAGCAAGCACAGGAAATAAATAAAGAGAGCTGGAAAGCCAGAGCCTTGCTGCGAAGGTGACCTTCCTCTGTTCTCTGGGTGCTGCCATGGCCCCTGCCGGGCACTTCTCCACAGAGGTTGGGAGCATCACCTGGGCAGGTGCTGCTGGGGAGAGCTTTGGGCAGAGCAGAGCAGGATTGTTGTGTCACAGGTGAGGATTTCAGACGTGCAGCTCTGGCTGTGGCAGGGCTTGGAGCTCTGTGAGCCTCCTGTTGGCTCTGCTCCAGGGAGYCCAGGCTCCCGGGATGGAGGAGCCCTGTGTCAGCAGGGCTGGGCAGCAGACACAGAGAGCCGAGGCACAATCTGCCAGGGGGGAGGAGTGGGAGGGCTGTCAAAATAAAAAGCAACAAATTAGCGGGATAACAGAGACCCGGAGGATCCGGAGCAGAGCACTGAGTTGTGTAGACTCATCCGAGAAGCGGGGAAAGCTCTGTCTCCCCGTTGAGCAGGAGCCAGCAGGCAGGAGGGAGTGTGGATGTGCTGAGGAAGCTGGGCTGGGCGTCGGGAAATGCTYGTGGGGTTGTGGGTGGTGATGGAAATAGGGTTTTAATGGGAATGGGGATGCTACGGCGGAGCTTTGTGCTTCCTGGACGAACGGCGGCGTGGAGAGCGGCAGGGCTTGCGCTTGCTCAGGTTGTTCCTGGGTTTGTTTGTTTTTGCTCGAGGTTTTGGAGGGGCAGGGCTGGAGGAAGGCTCTGCTGGGCTGKTGAGGAAGGGTGAGAGGAGCAGGGATGTGGTGCTGGGTGGGGGATGCTGTTCCATTGGGATTTGGTGAGGAGGGACCACCTGGAGCAGGCAATCCCAGGAAAACCAAGGGCTCACCTGCCCTGGAGAGGCCCCAGTGGCTSCCACCAGCCTGTCCTGCAGGGCTGMCAGCCCCCTCTTCCAGGCAGGCTGGTTTCCCATCCCATCAATGAACCCTTTCCCATGGGAATGAACCCATCTGRAGCAGCAGCAGCACCTGAGGCATCAGCACAGAGCACCCTCCATCCCCCAAACCTGCTGGGAAGGCCTCCAAGCTTCTGAAACACAGAGCTGGASCCACAGTGAGGTGGACAGCACCAYGTGCTGCCCTTCCTCCAGGAAMGGGCTGCAGGCTGTTGGTTCAGGCCTCTCCAGGACACCCCCGGCATCCCAGGGGCTGCTCCCTCCAGCCCCAGCAGGATTTCTCCCYGTGGATCCCTCCAGGGCYGTGCTCCATCTCAGCAGCAGCTCTGGGGTGGCCCTGTGCCACATGCTGGTGGCTCAAGGAGCTGCTGGCCTCTCCCTGCAGCCACACTGGGCTCCTGCGGRCTCCGAGGGATATCTGCCTGGTGGGGTTGGTTAATTTGGAGCCCTCGGGGTGCCCGTGCTGGAATGAGCTGCCTGGGCACAGAWTGTGCTTTCTCCTCTGCCTCCAGCTCCCCTGTGGAGCACTGAGCCCAACTGATCCTCCCAAAACTGTTTCCATGTTAACTCAGGTGATGCTGAGCACCTGCTCTGAGCGGCCTCAGGCTGCCCAGCACAGCCTCCAGCCCGGTGGGTGAGCTCTGGGGGTTTATCCTGGGGTAGGTCATGGACACACCCCGTGTGTTTGTCCGTGTCTGCTTGGAAAACTGCTTCAAGCTGGGAGGGAGCAGATTCCCTGGGATTGCCTCCCTGGGGTGACCACCCTGGGGTCACTGCCCTGGGGTCACCTCCCTGGGGTCACCATCCTGGGGTCACCTCCCTGGGATAGCCATGGGGCCGGGGCAGTGCTGTTGGTCCATCCTTTGGGCATGTCCCTGTGCTGATACCCAGTATGGAGCTGTCCCTTGGGGTCCCTAAGCTCATGGCACAG